ATGAGAGAGTAGCTGGAGAGATGGCTGAGTTCTTGTTCTGCAGCCATGCAGACATGGATTCCCTCCCCAGCCTAGGGTGGTGGCGTGAGTCTGTGACCCTCTCTCTGGGGAGGGAGAGACAGAGGACCTCTCAGCTCTCTGGTCATACAGCCTAGTTCCTGGGCAGGCTCCAAGCCAGCATGAGACCCTATCTTACAACGACAAAAAGGTGCTCAGTGCATGAGGAATGACACCCAAGGCCGTCCTCTGGCCTCGCATGTACACCTGCCCGTGTGTAAGCACAGATGTGTGCACCTGCACACACATGAACACATTTACTCACATGCATGAAGTAGCAATGGGCACGCTGATTTCCAGTTGGCCATTCTCTCTCATTCATACATTGTGCACACTTCTGACCAGCATAGGAAGCGCCCACTGCACGAATGCTGTACCTCAGCCTGCCCCATTCATGTTCAACTCTGTTCTCCCTGCGTCTCAGGTGAGAGTGAGTAGGTGGATGGCCGTGGGGGATGGGAGTGGATGGGAGAGTGGACCCTGCTCGGTGCAGCTTCAGCAAAGGGTGAGGCTCCTAAGTGCAGAATCCATGCCGGCTGGCCGCCCTCACCCCCGCCCCCGTCTTCAGAGGAGACCTGAACAGCCAGAGTCCATGCGATGATGGACTCAGGGACTTGCATCTGAGGGAGCGGCCAAATTGACCTCAGAGCAGGAAGCCATGCTGGGGGCCGTCAGGCTGCATGCCCAGGAAAGATGGATCTAAGCTGGAGGCGCGAGAAGAGGGCTGGAGGGAGGCCTCTGCCTGGGTTTGGGGTGACTTCAAGGAGAAGTGTGTCGGCTTTTTCCTTGGATTTATTTTTACCCAGCCTCTTTCTAAAAAAGGTGTTAGCGGAGCTCTCAACAAAGGACATACGCAAAAAAGGTCAGGCGCTGGAAAAAGAGAAGCAGGAGCAGGGACAGTTCCATCGGCAGAAGCTGGAGCCCAAGCCCCTGGGAAAGGACTCCGCTCCCCCCCAACACACCTCCCCCCTCCCCCGCACGCGCCTGGGGAGGAGCTGGTTAGCAAGATAGGACAATCCCCAGGAGGGAACACAGCAGAGCATCAGGCTGAGGAGGAACGCCATACCGAAAGCCAAACTTCTGGATGTCTCTCCAGACCCTTCCCCTCTGGAATTTTATGAACTTTGGTGACCACCTCACCTTTCTGAACCTGGCAGGCCTTATCTGCAATACAGAACTAAAACAGTTGAGTAGATCATGTGGCATGGTCCTCAGAACTAGAACATTCTCTCCAGGAAGGATGGGGAGACCCACGAGGTTCAGGAAGAAAGGAGGGCGCGTGTATGGGAAAGCTGAAACTTGGAAGATTCTCCACGGCTGTCCCCAGCTTTAGGGAAACAGCACAACCACAGGGGGAGACTACCCAGCGGCTGCAGGGGGAGATTTTCTTGGACTGTGAAGCTGCCCGCACGCTGTGCCGAGAGTTCCCAGGTGGCAACTTTCTTGAGTCAACACCAGTTTCGGGGTGAGCATTTCGGTGATGCAGCTGCTTTTGAGTCATGCCTGCTCCTCTGAGTAACCTCTCACCCACGCTCCTCCTCCCCCCAAAAACAAACAAACAGAAACCTCATTCCTTCACCAAATTGGGTTTTATACCTTTGTTTCTTTGGTCTGTCATGGGTTCCCTTTCTGAGGTGAACAGATGTGTGTGTCGCCCTTCCCCAGAAGTCTCTCAACAGTTAGCATGAGCCAACAGGGCTGTGCTTCAAGTGACCTCACCTGCCTGGATCCTGGTATTGAGACTTGCTGGGCCTTGGCCAAGGACAACTGGAAGACATTCACAGTGCACACACCACACAACAGTGACCCTGGAATGGATGGCCACTTTAGGAAGGGTGGACAAAAAAGGATTTATGAGACCCACCTGCCCCCTGCCTTTTTAAGAAGGTCTACCCAAGAGCTCTCTAAAAATGGTAGCCCCCATGTTAGCCATGCTGTACACCCATGACCCCTTTCTTTAGCCTGTTGATTAGATCAGAGGTGGCACATGTCATCAGCCGGCAGCTAGTCAACAGGTTGCTCAACTGAGCGTCTGTGTGTGTGTGTGTGTGTGTGTGTGTGTGTGTCCGGATGTAAAACAGCAGGCAGCCAGCAGCCATTTCTCTTGAGAGGTTGAGTCACTGGGTGCTGTTAGCTGCCAGGAAGCTCGCTCATGTGGGGGAAATGGAGCGGAGGTCCTGGTACCTGGTTGGCTCCAGTCTGAGGGAGCTGACATGAGTCAGGAGAGGAACTGTGTGGGTGGGCTATGCTCAGAGGGGGATGTGATGGAGTACAGATGACAAAACACACAGGCCAGATTAACTCTTGCGCTTGTAACAAGCAAGCGAGCCCCTACCTCAGGAGCATCACGTTCTATTCCATGACGAGCTGGCCAGAAATTCAGGCAAATGTGTCCCGAACCGCATCCTCTGGAGTGATGGTCTTGGAGTCCAAGAAGGCTCCACTCCCGCATCACCTGGTACTTTGGCAGAAATGGTTGGCAGGCCAGTCCCAGCTGGGATGGTTGGGGTGCGAGTGGGGGACTCCATGCCTCCTGGTAGCCTCAGGAGAGTTGGGTACGTGGTGGCTCGGGGACAGGACATTCCAAGATACCCAAGCTGAAGCGGCTTTGAAAGTCACATTCAGTTGTACAAAAGACTTGCTAAGACCAGTGCAGACTGGAGGGGAGGGAGTCAGACTCTGCCCCCACAGGAAGTGTGAGGAGGGATTCCAACCATCTTTACCTCACCACAGGAGCCAGAAGTTTCTATAACCGATGGCCTCAGCTCTCAGTTCTACCTGGAGCCCAGAAGTCCCTATAGCACAGGACACCTTCTCTGTCACAACCCAACTTATGTGGGCATTTCAGTGTCTGGCCCTCTTGATCTGTATGTGTGCTTGTGTGTGTGCGCGTCTGTGCGTGTGTGCGTGTGTGTGTGTGTGTGTGTGTGTGTGTGTGTGTGTGTGTGAGACTCTCAGGAGAGTTTGCATTGTCTAGCTCCTTATGAGCCAGACTACCCAAGCTATGAATCTCCAGCCAGGTGTGTTCATAAGAAGGCGTCTATGATGAGCACTGATAAAGCTCCAGAGAGGCGGAGAGTCCTTAGCTTGTTGCCTTGTGAGGCCTCAGTTTCCCTGTGTGAAACATGGGCCTGGCGACTCTATCCACCCCAGCCATTGCAAATAACTAACAAGACAGACTCTTTTCACTGCTTGCCTGGTCTCACTACAGCCCTTATCATGACACCCCTCCAGATGTGGACATTCATGACACCCCTCCAGATGTGGACATTCATGACACCCCTCCAGATGTGGACATTCACTCACGGCAGTATGGGTTTTGCTCGCCACTGCCTGTCCTGTGACCTCAGCAAGCCTCTTCTCCTGAGGAGAACAGAGGAAGAAGCTGACGGAACTGACAGACCTCGCAGCTCTGCAGTCCTAGAACAATAGGAAAGGCTACTGTGATGATCTGGGGCAAGTGTTCTATTGCGGAGCTATATTCCAGCATTAAAAAATTATTTTTAATTACATGCATGTGTGTCTATGTGTGGGTATATGCACATGTGAGCTCAGGTGCCTGCAGAGTTCAGGAGAGGGCACCAGATCCTTTGGAACTAGAGTTCCAGGTGGTTTATCAGCCACCCCAGGTTTGGGACCTGAACCTGCATCTTTGGCAAGAACAATGTGAGGTCTTGCATCTGAACCTTCACTCCACAATCCCCCAACACATGCTATTTTTAAAAACATTTTATTTTAAGACAAGGTCTCACTAAATTGCCAAGGTTGGCCATGAACTCATTCTGATGTAGCCCATACTGGCCTCAAGCTCAGGATCTACTGCTTCAGCTTCCCATGTTCTGGGATCGCAAACTGTTCCACACTTAACCAAATACTTCTTTTAAAAAGGTATGTCTTCCCCGAAGCCCCAAACCCAAACTCTTTGACAGCCTTCTGCTTCCTTGATACACTTTCTGGTGACGGTCTGAGCTCCGTGTCTGTCTCCCCCACTAGTTGGACGCAGTGTTTTCTCTGCAGCAAATGACCAGGATAAGGATTCGCTGTGGGCAGACAACACACGGTGTCCTCTGTCTAGGGCACAGTGATAGGTGGCAAAGAGAGGAAAGACTGCCCCTGCCCATCCCATCCCCTTGCTCTCCCTCCCTGAAGCCCAACACACACAGGCTGGCCCTGAGTTCTAGAACACTGAGTTTTTATTGATTGAAACAATCGCGGCCGCGACTAGAGGTTACATTTTGGGGTTTGTGGAAGAGAGAAAGATGAGCGACGGGGAACAGAGGCTGAGTGGAGACAGAGAGCAAGGCAAAGGGGTGAGGCAGGGTCGTGAGACCAAAGACGACCCCAAGGCGTGTCACCCGTGAATGGGGGGTCTCCTGTTGTGCTTTTACCTCAGTGGCAGGACGGGCGGGGCAGACGTGGACCTGGGAATCTGAGGAAGGGCTGACTTTCTTCGCATCTGTGAGGCCCCAGGGCTGGAACAGTCCTCTCTTTCCTGTCCCTTATGGGCTGGGGATAAGGGCTTGATGAGCAGGAACAGGGTGGTGGTGCTTGGGGATGTCCTAGGGCATTCCATCTCCTGCCCAACTGGGCTGAGATGGGGGAGATGAGGTGTCTGGGTAGAGGGCAGGAAGCTGCTAGGAGGGGGGGAGCATTTCTAAGAGGGCCCCTGGGCAATGAAGGCAGGCCACACATGGAAGGGAGAGGGATGGAGATGGGCAGGTGCCTTCTCTCTGAACCTCAGTTTTCTCACCTGTACAATGGGCACACCAGGTGAGATGCCTCTAAGATCCCTTCCAGTGCTAAAGGTCAAGAGATCTCCAGAAAAGAGTGGTCCTTCTGCCCATACACACACAGACACACACAGATACACACACGTGCATGCACGCACATGTACACATACATACACACACACACACACACACATGCGCGCGCGCGCGCACACACACACACACACACACACACACACACACACACACACACAGCACTGACAGGACAGAATGCAGCCAAAATCTAAGCTCAGCCAGTACCCCATAGGAACTCTCTAGTACAGGTTCATGCTTCACACTCTTAGGCTATTCCCTGGAAACCCACCCTTCCTGCCCCATGGAGCTGTCCAAGCAGAGGAAAACCCAAGGATACTGACTGCACATCCTCCGCAGCCTTCCTGGTCCTGGGGAGGACATCAGGAGGATGAGGACACTGGCATCTGCCAGCCTTGGCTGCCAGCCCAGCCTCCTGTGCTGACAGCAGCGGGCAGTGGGGAAACAGAGTCTCCTCTGTCTGGAGCCTGTGGGAGGAGCAGTGGCTGCAGCCAATGTTGACAGAGAATGACAGCTTCCATGTGGTACCCGTGCTGTCCACAGGCTGGGAGTGACTATGGCCTGGGAGAAGAGGCCAGAACAGGACAGGGAGATGGTTTCTCGCTTCAAAAATCCTCATGACACCTGTCGCATGTGTGACAGGCCCAGCAGCACCGAAGGCACCCAGAGAAGGGTCCGTTCCGCTCAGTCTCCTGTAGCTAGTCAGTCAGGTAAGAGGCTCCCAGGAGCAGAGGCCAGTGGGACAATGTCCCCAGGGCTGCAGCACTAGGCTTTCAAGGCTTGTGCCATCCCTGCCCTCTCTGTTCCAGCTTCTGCATTTGTGCCATGAAAGACCGGCTTGTCTGAGGCTCACCCTGGCTCTGCTAGTCTGAACAGGTACTCTCAGAGAACAGGAGAAAGAGAGTGAACGAGAAAGGACCGAGGGGAGGAATGTGCCAGGAGGAGCAGGCTTGGTCTTCGGGTGAATGGTGTATCCCCGCACCCCAGGAGCTTGCCTGTGGTGTGGTCCCAGGGGCAGGGTGGTCAAGCTGAGACTCCCCATCGGTTGCTATTCAGTCCCTTATCCCTTTCTCCCCCAGATACTAATCTGCAGAAGCTGGGGTAAAAGGGCTCCAGACCCCTGAGAAATGACTCTGGGATCCTTGTTTTAAGGCCACAACTTTCCTCAGTTCCCTCAACACAGAGGGTGATGCTGCCACTGAAGAGATAAGCTAGATCCCGTCAGCCTGGTCTCCTGGGGTGGTCACTATCCCAACACTGACCCATAGGACATACAGGAAAGCAGACTCACAGCCACCACGACGTGCACAAAGCTCCTACCCTACAGTTACACTTCGGCACTCAGCCTTCAATACACACACACCTGACACCACGCCACGGCTCACACAGATGTGCACACCCCAGCCTTACCCACTTGCACAAGAGGGTAGGTTTCTTAGCAGACAGGCTTTGTAATCTCAGGCCACACACCCTCAGACATGGCTGCTCCCACCACAGGGAAGATTCTGGAATATGGGAATGCATACTACACATTCATGTGTCCCGGCTCTGAGATATAGAGCAGTCAGGACAATGGGTAGATGTGGGGGAGCAGGCTTAGGGTGGGGTGGGAACCTCAAGGAGGAAGGAGTGGAGCTGTTCTCCAGGATGGCCCTGGAGTTGAGAGGATCCTAGCTTCCCGTCTCAGGTTATGCTAAGATACTTCTCAATGTTCCTAATGCCAGGCTGCATTCCGACACCATTGAATCACACCCCCACCCCCGGGCTGAGGCCCAAGCACTTGTACTTTTAAAAGACCCTGGAGGTCAGTTCTAAAGCCAGGGCCAGGGACCACTGGTTTGTGGGATCCATTCCACCTGGTTTCCACCCTAGTCTCCCTTACACCAGCAAGAATGGAGGAGGGGCTCAGAGGGGGAGGGGCTCACAGTCTAGATAGGGGCAACAGACTCTGCACAGATGGGACAATTAAGGAGCAATACCAGGCAGATGCCATGGAAGCGTGTTCTGGAAGCCAGAGCAACTCACTTCAGACAGAGGCCTTGAAGGGGCCAGGAAGGTAGACATGCTGCTCGGGTACCAGAAGGTACAGCTGTAGCCTGGCCTGGCAACCCATCAGCCATGATGATGCTGATGACGGGGACACAGGCTAGGTGGAGTTGGGGGCTGGGCAGCAAGGGTCCTGATCCTCAGTGTGCGTCCTGGTGCCATGGTGCTGCTGGGAGGCAGGGGCGGGGATTTCCAGCCTCTTCTCTGCAACTGTCCCCCCAGAATGCACAAGGAAGAGCCCTGTGCTGTGCCTCCAGGCAAGGGGCTAGCCTTCAATAGGGTTGTCTCTAAGTCCTTTGTCACCACAGGAGATGCAAGATTTAGGCTGGAGCAGGCAGTCTGAGATTGCAAATAGGGACAGCACCCACAAACACACCGCGTCATTAAGATGAAAAATGCACTGTCAGTCACCCACAGAGACTGGGCTTGAACCCAGCCCCATATTCCTGTACACGCCTGTCCAGAGATGTGCACAGTGCTACACAGACACGGATGGGCACACGCACTCTTACACACGCAGAGACACACATACAGACACACTTGGACACAGACGCACAGTCACATCACATGCACGGGTTCATAGACTCATTGCAGAAAGGGCTAGGATTCCTCTCTCCCATAGAAACTGGGTAAGGGGTAAAGGGAACCAAAGAGGAAAGTTCTAGATCCTATCCCATCAATTTCAAGTTCCAAGGACAAAGTGCTCTTCCCAGCTCACAGGGAACAAGGAGACACAGCCACCTCCATCCATCACCCCCTTGCTCCACAGCTGACTGGACAGCGTTCTGTCCTCTCCCCGGCCCCCTCCTTCCAGACCTACCCCCCGGGAGACTATATACCTAAGAAACAGGGGCCCCACTCTGTTTATGAGTTCACTGTTCTCTGTGGGAACATGGAATCACAGAAGGGGACTCTGTTCCTCTCAAAGCCAAGCCCCACCCAGGAAACTGACATGGACACTTTTCGTATCACCAGCTTCCCCGGAAGTCCCAAGCTGGGACCATCTGAACTGGGGAAGGATGGGGGAGCTGTCCTCACTCTGCCCACCCCTAAGTCCTGTGGTGGGGTCCCTTCCAAGTGGGCACAGTGGGGAGGGGAATATGACATCTCAGGGACAGGCAAGGGGATTTGAGTTGACCGGTGCCTCAACCATCCAGCCTGTCGCCACACTCTGGGGACAGTTGCCTGCAGCAGGTGCAGAACGAGGGACAGAGAGCTCACAGAGTCCCGCCTGGCCTGCCTGTGAGCCCTGTGACCTCCAGACACACAAACCTGATGGGTCTGCCCACACCTGGCCCCCTCTGCCAAGGCTCTGGGCTGGAGTTCGGCCTTGAATCGGGGGACGGGGCAAGGTCAGAAACAGTGTAGTGCAGCCAGGATGAGGCCAGTGTCGCACCGAGGTCCTTGGAGGTGTCGGACGTTGTTTGGCTAAGTCCCTTGTCTCCAATAGTAAAGAAGGTGCTGGCAGGTTGGCTAAAAACTTGTGCTTTAATATATCTGTGTGTGTGAGCGTGAGTGTGTGAGTGTGTGCGTGTGTTGAACAACCATCAGAGCCTGGCCTGGCCACTGTCCGTGTTCTCCGCTCATCCTTGTAGCCAATGAAAGCCCCCTCCCTGCCGGCCCCGCCCCTGGGCACCCCGGCTGGCAGGGGTCAGTCTTTGGTACGATGTGGACACTTTGGTGTGCCGGGGCGGGGTGAGGTGGGGGCCAGACAGCTCTCATCATCTCTGCAATGCCAAGAGGAAGATAGCCAGGGGTCTCCAAAGCTGCAGGCTGGGCAGGCCGGGGGCTCCGTTGCCTGGCATTACCACCACTGTGACACAAGACAGAGAAGAACCAGGCCAGAGCTCCGGTTAGTTCCAGCAGGGGCAGGGAGGGACAGAGGGCTAGACCATGAGAGGCCTCATGATTCTGCTTCTTCCCTTCATGGGGTGAAGGAAGCCTGAAGGTAGGAGGAGTTCACAGTTCCCATAGACACATTCACGGGGGTTAACTAGGCGTGCTGCTGTTCATGCTCACTAAGACACAGAGCAAAGGACTTGACCTCAGTGGGTCTCAGTTTTTTACCTACAAAATGGGTCTAATAGTATTTGATATCCCGAGGAGCTGCCAGGAGCAATAAGCGAAGCCTGCTATTGCTGCTTTCTGTCCTGCTCAGTCCACAGGAGACACCTGGGCCGTGGGTACAGACTACAGACAAGTCAGCAAGCTTAGGGGAGGCAGGGCCGGCAGCCCCTGTCAGTTCTCCATTTTCCTCACAGCCTGACTCAGTGTGGTGCCCAAGTGGGCACTCATGAACGTTCCTGTCACCCAGGCACCCTAAACCCCTCCCTAGCAGCCCCCCCCATCCCCAACCCACTTCAAGTCACATACCTTTATTGGGATCCATCTGCCTCCGGGGGCACTCTCCCTTCTTCAGAGTGACATCATCTATGGCAATATCCCCCAGGTAGCCCGAGCCTCGAACCCCCTCAAAAATAATCTGGGGTGGGGTCAGAGAGTGGGGGAAGGGTTGGGGAAGTTGGGCCTGGCAGCAGAGCTTCCCCACCCCTCCACCTCAGGCTACCTGGAAGTCCCCATCCCCCATCTTAACCCCCCAGGAACCTGCACAGGACCTTCGCCAAGCCACTCACCTGGAAGGGCCCACTGGGGTTGATGGGCACATGGGCCTGCTGCCACACGTTGCCCTTGTTGCCACTGAGGGACCAGGCATGTGTATCTAGAGCTCCTTTGTTCCTGGACCGCACTAGAAGGTTGAGAGAGCCTGTGGCAAGAGAAGAGAGAGCATGGTGAGGTTGGCCAAGACATCCTGGCTTCCTTGTCTCCCCTAAGCCAGCCTCTCCCTCCCTCACCAATGCCCACAGCGCTACCCTGCATAATGGAGCTGTTCCTGTGCCCAGACCAGCCTGCAGAGTTCCTTCCTTTTCTCCTTTCTCTTCTGTGTAATCAATGAATCAGGCCTGGAGTGTTATGTACACGTGTGCGCACACACACACACACACACACACACACACACACACACGTGCATGCACACACAAACACACACACACGTGCATGCACACACACTGCCATCCCCATCCAGGCACCCCCTTCACCTCATCCTAGACAAGATTCTCAGAGCACAAGTGCACACATAGACGGGACATGGTTACTGGGGTGAAGAAAGGGACTTACTATTTTTCACTTATTGTATAGTTTTAAAAATTATATACATAGAGAGATTGATTTTGTATGTGTGTGTGTGTGTATGCGTGTGCATGTGCATGTGTGTGTATGTGCAGGCCAGAGGTCAACATTAGGCGTCTTCCTAGCATCTTTTTGTACACTGACCCTGGAACTCATTGATTGACAGCTGGGTTGGTAGCAAGCCTCTGGGATTTGCCCGTCTTACCCCCCAACCTCCCCAGTCCCATCAGGTTACAGTTCTACACTGCCGCTCAGCTTTCTCATGGGTGCTGCAGATTTGAACTCAGGTCCTCACGCTTGAGCAGCGAATACTTTACCCACTGAGCCATCTCCCCAGCTCCTTATTTGGATGTCTTACACACTGGGTAAACGTAGCCTTCTGAGCCACGCTCTAATACTAATGCTAGGACAAAGTGAAAACACAACACTGCAACACAGAATGAGTTTATTTAGACATAAACGAGGACTGCATGGCTATGGTGAGATTCGGAGCTAGCTGGGGTGCTGACCCATCTGTTAGAGCCTTGGGGATCTGCCATCCCAGGAGTGCTGGGGGCACTCGGACGGCAGCGGTTGTAGCGTCCTGAAGGCCACACAGGCACCATCAGTGCCCCCTGGACGTCTCTTTCAGCCCTTCTCGACCACTCCCATGGCACAAGAGACCTGGCTCTGCAGGAAAGGGAAATCCATCTTCAGAGGCACCTGGTGGCTGGCATTTCCGTTGCGTTGCTCACAAAGCTGAACCATCTGTGATGCCAGAGAGACCGACACCTCCCTCCCCACACTGCGGGGAGAGTCACCAAATGTTACCTGCCTTGGATGAAAGGAGTTGGCTGAGACCAAGGAGAGCTGACGAGACACAAAGTTTAGGGACAGCTGGTACCCAAAGCTGCCAGGCACAGTGAGTGTGGGGGTGGGGGCTACATAGCAAAGCTAGACCTGGGGGACATGCTAAAGGCTCTCGAGGCTGACAAGACCTCAGCCCTTAGGCATGGGCCCCTAAGAGGATGGCTGCTTGTACCAGCAGAACAGGAAATGGTTACCCTGGCTTCAGCAAGGCCCAGAGCCAATGTTTTTCAGGATCCTTACAAACCATCAACTGCAGAACAATTTTGAGTTTAGCTTGGGCTACATAAAACCCTGTCTCAAAAACAATCTTTTCAAAAGATTGATTCATTTTTATTTTGTTTGTATGAGTGTTGACCTGCATACATGCATGTGCACCGCACATGCGTCTCCCAACAGAGTAAGAACAGGATTTCAGATGCCCCCAAACAGGGGTCTCAGACCACTCCGAGTTACCAAATGGGTGTCAGGAATTGAACCCAGGGTGCTCTTCAAGAACAGCCACTAATTTAACTGTGATGCCATCTCTTTAGTGGAATCAGCGAGCTCCAGGGTCAGTGATAGATCCTTTTTCAAAAAATTAAGGTTGGCAGGGTATTCTGGCGCACGCCTTTAACCCCAGTAAACAGAAAGCAAAGAAAGGTAGATTGCTGTGAGTTTGAGGCCAGCCTGGTCTATACAGTGAGCTCAAGGCCAGCCAGGGCTACATTAAAAGACTCAACCTCAAAACAAAACAAAAAGCAAAATCAGGTGGAACTTGAGAGAAAAGCAATGCCCAAGGTCGATCTCTGACTCCGCACACAGGTGCACACACATGTGCTTGCAAACAAACAGGCAAAACCAAAAGCAATTCGACAAACAGGAAGGGCAGCTGTGTTGGGCAGGGTAGTGAAGGATTGCCCCAGGAGACCCCAGTGAAGGAGAAAATAACATTCCAGGCCAGGGATGGTTCTGAGCAAAGCCCTCAGAGGCAGGAATGTGCCTGGACGATTCAAGCAAGGGATGGGCGCCAGCGTCAGGCGGCAGCAAATAAGGCCAGAGAGGGGTTAGAGCTGTGCCAGGTGATGGGAGACCTGACTATGGTGACAGGAAGGGTCAGAGGGTCCTGGGCAGAGGAGGAACATGATCTGGAATAGAGTCTCTCACAGTTGGATAGTTCCGTCCATGGTCTGGATGCGTTCAACCTCTCAAATAGCTCATTCCTGACCCACAGGTCTAACGATGAGAGTCACCCTTAGCTGGCCTCAAAGCTGCCTGGTGTTTGCTCCACTCCTGGGAAGCCCGGAGCAAGGTCTGTGGTCACAGAGCCTGTCCCCTCAGGCTTCCGTCTCTCTAATCCGCCAGGCTTATACCCTCTGTGCCCCCCCCCCCCCCCCACCATCTGCATCTGCCTGGGAGTGAGGTAGCTCACCACTAAGACTAGGGACGCCAGAATGAATTGACTGCTCTGAAGCTAAATGGAACCAAGGGCGAACAGCCAGGGTCAGCCATCTTCCTCACCCCAGGGGAACCTCTCACAGAGTCCAGACCCTGCCACAGTGCTGGTCTGAGGAGATGGGTAGGAGCAGGGTTCCACAAGTGCAGAATCCTCCATCTCACCCCGTCCTGGAGGGTCCATTTGGCATGACCCTCCTCCCGCTATGTGGAAACTTCTCCAGGGTGAACCTTCAAGCCACACCTCTGCTATGCAGGGGGGAGGGGGCATGCAAGGGACCGATAAGGAAGGAGTGCCAGGATGATGGATGGCCCAGAGGGAAGCAGTGAGTGTAAAAACAGAGTATAAAACAGTCAGGAGAGAGGCTCCGTGTACAGCCTACTGCCTTCTGTAGTGGTGGCAGGACCAAGAAGAGCAGGAGGTATTTACTGCACCCTTTACAATTGTCAGTCCCTGTAAAATACATTAGCTCTTCCGTAGGTTTAAAAAAATATATTTAAGACAGGGTCTTACTATGTAGTCCTGGCTTGCTTGGCTTGGCTGGCTCTGTAGGCCAGGCCTCAAACTGACCCTTGCCTCAATCTCCCAGGGCTGGGATCAAGAGCATGCACAGCCACACCCAGCACAAACAGCTCATTAAACAGCCTTCGCATTCTCAGCAGTCTCCAAGCCCAGCCTCCAGACAGACCCTGTTTTCCTCGTCATTTGCTGTCCTTCCACTACCACAGTGGTCACTAACTCCCATCAGATGCCATTAGCAGTCGGATTTGCCTGTCCCCTTGGCTGAGGAGCAGAGACTTGTCCTTCTCCCACAACAGAGGGACGGATGCTGGTACCCGGCAGAAGCTATGGCAGCAGCAGCCGTGCTGGTGAGCTCAGGACTGAAAAGTGATGCTTCCCCCAGCCCTCTCTCCCCATCTGGTGGTCCTTACATCACACTTAGGAAGCAGCACTTCTCCTCAACAGCTCAGGAGGAAACACCTTTCCAATGTTGTGTTTTAAGATTTCAGGGAAATCAGACCCACGTCACTGAGCAATGTGATCTTGAGGAAACGTTTAACCTCTCTGAATTATATGGATCCCAGTACTTGGCAAGCAGCCGACACACAACCAAAACAGCTAACCTGTATTCTCCATCCTTAGCTCTACTTGCCCACAGTCCCCCACCCCAACTCCCAGGTTAGCCGACTTGAGAAGCTTAGGCCTCCTTGGGAAGTCCCGAACCTTCTGTGGCTCCCTCATCTTCCCCAGACAGCTCACACAGTAAATATCACGGTCTCCAACTCACCGATGTGTTTCCCATACATGTGGTAGAAAAAAGAGACACAGTAGAACTTGGCGCTGGCGTTGTACAGGGGACTCACCAACCTGGCACGATCCCCCAGCTCCCGGGGCCTGGATGTCTCGATGAACATGTAATAGCCTGCAGTGGAAGTGGGGGGGTGTACTAGCAACCTCTCCCCAGCCACCCCGCCTCTTACAGCTGATTTCCTCCCTGCTTGGTCTTCAGAGCTACCGCAAGTTGCTGAAGTCCATCCCCACCGAGGCTCTTCGCCCAACCTTGCAGGACTCTGCTCAGAGCTCAGCAGTGTCCAGCTCTGCGGACAGTTTCTTCCTTTCTGACCTTCAACCAGGCTACAGCTCTGTCTCCCTCAGAGGGTCCCCGAGGATTGTATGTGTCTCCTTCCATTCTTGGGGGTCCATAGGCCTAGACTCCCTCCAGAGACCATGCTCTATTCCATACAACAGGCCACGTCCTCACCTTCAGGGGTGCCGCTGATGTCAGTAGGGGGACCGGTATTGGGAGAGCGCTTGGGGTTCTGGGTAAGAGCATTCTGCCGCGTCCAGTCAAAGTTGTCTGTCAGGTCCTGAGTGTAACCACAGATCTTCTCATCCTCAAAGTGGCAGGTGTTGTCTGCATAGGGATGGGACAAAGAGACTCAGCCTTAGCCCCTGTCTATCCTGCCCTCCCCTTAACATCCCTAAGCCACCTTTAAATGATCTAAGTAATGGGTCCAGGGCTTCAGGGCCAGAGAGATCAGGCAGTGGGGTCCAGGACAAATTTATTCAGGAACAGGACTTTCTGCCACAGTCTTCCAGTTTAAGATTGCCCTCCAGAATAATGATTCTAGACACATACAATAAAATGCGCAGGGATTTCAAAGGAAATCAATTATATTGAAACACAGTTGTCAAAATATTCTTGTAATCCGCTATATAATAACAGGCCCTCTTTATTATATAATTAGATCACAAGATCTAGCTAGGTCTAATAACTACCGTGGTTCTGTAATACTAATGACTGAAAGTGACATTTACAGATGTCTGCAACAACGGTAAGGCGACGCGGAAACACTGGGTATCCGCGGATGATAAAGTAACAGGTACTGATTATTCTGTAGGGGTTTGTTGTCTACGCTCATCATTAAGGAGCCTGTTAAATTTCTGTCAGAAGCTGAGAAAATAAAGAAATAACGATGCTCCGCTACAGATTCAGACAACCTGTGATTTCTGCACAGAGGTCCCTAGCAGGAGCTCGGCATCGCAGACTAGCCCCCTGCTCCCTGTCTTCCCCAAGTTGCTTTTTGTTTAGGGATTTTTATTGCAGGAACAGATGAAATTAGGACAGCCCGACTTTTCCATCCCTTTGGCAGTCAGTGCCCTTCACCAATGTGCAGTCTTTGAGCCCAGAGTAAACTTTGATTGAGAAGCATCTCCAGCCCCATCCTCTGCTGCTGGCTCTTCTCCATGGAAACACTGGAAGCAGCTATTTTTCTCTCTGAGTATCCTCTCCAGATCCCCATATCCCAACAGGAGAGCCTCTATGTCCCTAACAGGGGAAGTTAAGGACTGGGGTCTTACCTGATAGGTTGGGCGAGTTGATGGCTGAAAAAGCAAGCAAGGAAACCAAGTCAGAACTGAGGTGCATGGCTGTGCAAAGTGTGCCCAGGCTGGGGAGTCAAGGGAAAGGGTCTTCAGAGCCAGGACTGGGGACCAGTAGGCCTGCACAATGGGGTGACCCAAGTTCAAGTTCAAGGGCGATCTAGGAGGGGTATATTTAACAGGCCCACCCCTCCTGCTACCGCCAGAGCTGCCGCCGCCACCATCACCTACGCTCTGTGTAGTGGATGATTCGGGAAGCCATGTCACCAGCCCCGAAGGTGGTGTAGGGTGTGAGGCGGATCTCATAGCTGTGGGGCACACGAAGATCAGTCAGGATGTACTCTAGCAGCTGCCCCTTCTCCACGTGCCGCACAGGGATGGCCTTGACCATGGCATTGTGCTGGTTCAACTGTGGATACAGGAGAGTTCCTAGATGCCCAGCAGGCCATAGTCTCCCCTGGAGGGACAACCCAGACCCTGGAATGCTTCAGGGGAGCAGAAACAGGAAAAGTCTGGGACATCGGCCCTCGGCTTCCCCATCTTTGAGATGGGGCAATTTGCTGTTCCAGGCCCCCTCCCAGGGCTGTCACCATGTTAACAAGGATTATAATCCTTATATAATATATAATAGAAACAGATAAGGGACAATTAGTGTGTCCTGGGCACTATAAAGTGCTTAGGCATCCTTAGTCATCTAATACTCAAAACAACAATGCTCTGAGATGAAATAGTCACACTACCCCCACTTCACAGATAAGCAAATGAAGGTCAAAAGAGCTGTAATCTTACTAAACTCTGCTCCTGTCCCCAGGCCCTGTCCCCAAGAGTACACAGTCTTCCCCTCCCACTACTGCCGCTTGGGCAGAGCAGGACCACATAGACTGGACCAGGCAGGCGTGAGAGCAGCCAGGCATACGGGGCGTTGTCCCCGCAGAGCTCCTGCTCTCAGCCCTGGGTACCAGAGGAGATGCTCACTCTAGGAGCCATAGTGACCTTGTCCTGCACTCAGCTGTGCCCAGGGACAGTACGGAGGACACAGTGTGCTCAGAGGCTCCCAGCTCTGGCTGCTACATCCACACTCTTCCTCTGCTTCAGAGAAGTTGCCTAGACAGGAGGGCTGTGTCCAGGAACCCCTCCCATCTGTTTCCAGGATCCGCCATGATAACCGCACCCCACTGGCCATGCCTCACGCCCCTGGCGCACCTGGCGGATGCTGAGTCTGTAGTTGAGCACGGGGTCCACAGCGTCTGGCTCCCTCTGCGTCCACTGTAGCACGTAGGAGTAGTTCTTGGACAGCTTGTGGCTGCGGGTGGGGTTGGGGGTGTCGAAGTAAAACTCCGGGCTGTAGGCTTTGGCTGAGAGGGCAGGGAGGGGGCACGGGGCCGTGGAGGATGGAGGTGGGAGAGAGATGGGAAGAGGAGCCGTGGGAAGGGGGTGGTCAGAGGTGGGGGCGACAAAGAGAAAGGGGTGTCGTGAGGAGAGTTGGCGTTGGGAGGAGAGGGGATGGGGAGGATGCAGGTGAGGTGGGAACGGAAGGGTGATTGTAAATTCCAAGAGGGGTTAGTTGTTGGTGAGAATAGCAAGGAAGGGCCAAGGAAGAAACAGAAAGATTGGTAAAGACGAGGGTCAGGCATATAGCGAGGGAAGAAAGAAGAAATGGTGGGTGGAGGTCAAAAGGTCGGGAGACAGGGAAAATGGGGGAACAGGGAAAGGGAAGGAGGTGGGAAATGTCACAGGGGCCTCTGGCTGGCAAAGCTGAGTGTGTGGGGAGGGGCCTGGGAAGCAGCCAGTGACCTGCATCTCTAGCCCTGCTATGGAGAGGATTAAGTGGTTCAAGAATTAAAGGGGCCACCCAGTGCCTTGGAGGGGCTATTGAGAAATCTGGGGGTGCCAACCAATAGGGAAACAGGTCTCCCAGGCTCACTGCCACCAGATCTGGCAGGAAAGTGGCTCTCAAAATGGAGAGGAGAATGAGAGGCCACTGGTCACCCTGGCAGCCTGTCTATTACCCTAGGCTCTCTCCGCAATCCCCACCATGCTGTCCCCCCATCCTGGCCCATCAGCAGCCCTGTGGGCTCATGGGGGAGAGGCCTAATGCAAAGGAGAGGCTGAGAAGGATGTCTGAGCACCCACAGCCTGTACCTCTAGGGTGGCAACTGGGGGGGGGGGGGAGGGAGGGGAAGGAGGGCTGGGGAGGATTGTGTTGGGCCAGCCAAACCTCACCCCGACATTCCCCAGCTTTTTAGGGGCATCTTCTACCCTTCAAGCTACAAGCGGGATAACCAATGGTTTCCCCCATCCGCAGCCTCTGAGGTCAAGCAAGGACCATGGGGCCAAGAACCTTAGAGGAAGAGCTAGAGGCTGAGATGGGACCGGGCCCGAGTCTTGAGTGTGAGCGGGGTCGGAGGGACAGAAGCACTGGGATGGATGAGGCTGAAGGGGTCTAAATCTACCATGGTCGTTTGAGAGACTGGCTTGAAAGGGACGTGGCTGTAGGAAGCCAAAGAAAGGGACCGAACCCTCACCAGCTGGGAACCTCCGGGAGAAAGCACAGGGATGGAAGGGCGTGATCTTGAGGGGGCGGGCCTTCGAGAAGAGGTCAAGGATTGGATCTGGGCTCCGCGGGGCGGGGTCTACACCTGGTATGGGCAGGTCTTGGAAGATGAATGCCTAAGACGGCAGAAGCAGGACTGAAAGGAAAGCCCAGCTAGGAGTGGCAGGGCCACAGGGGGTGGAGCCTGGCTCCAGGTGGGCGTGGGCGGGAAGGCGGGATGGGGCCAACCGGACGCTCACCGGAGACCTGGAAGAGGCAGGTGGCTGAGCCCACGTCGTTGGAGACGCTGCACTCGTAGCTGCCGCTGCTGTCACGGGTCAGGGCGTCCAGGCGCAGCTCGGCGTGATCGGTGGCCTCGGTGGCGGCGGGGACAACAGGTGGAGGGGGCAGCAGCTGTCCTTTGAAGCGCCACACGGCCGAGGCGATGCGTTGGGGGCTGCCACGCAGGAGCGTGCAGCGCAGGAGCACCGGCCGGCCCAGGGCCTGGCGCACGTCCTGGGAACTGGGCTCCACCTCTGGTGGGACTGGGAACCAGGGCTGCGGTCAGTAGGACCGTGGAGGAGGTGGCTTATTTGTCCCCCAGTCCCGTGACCCTGGCCTAGGAGGATCTCGGGGCCGATACACACTCGTAACTCATTCATACAACAGCCAAGCTCAGACTGCCGGCGGTTCCCTCCACCCATGCTTCCCAGACTGGGCCTCTGGTGGTGCTCATTTCATGCCCTCGACCAACACGTAACGAAAGACCGCACAGCCACGAAACTTAGAGCACTATCGCTAGACCTAGTTCAAATTCAAGGCTTGCTGTACAAACTGAGGCAAATTATAGCTTTTCTGTGCCTCGGTAGAGGAATCGTCAGAGTTTTCAGGTGTGAAGCAGTAAGTGGAGGGGTGGGGGTGGCCTAGGCTGGGTGTCTGGGGAGGGGACTCACAGTGCACTGTCAGCTGCACCTGAGCCTCCCGGGATCGTATGTTGAAGCCATTGTAGCGAGCTGTCTGGCAGCGGTAGGTGCCGCTCATGTCACGGCTCACGCGCTCCAGTCGCAGCTTCCCATCCGGAGTCTCTTCCAGGGCCAGCCCTGAGGGCAGCAGGACGACCTCTTTGTCCACGCGAGACCACAGCACTGGCGGCCGGGGCTTGCCCCGCACTTCACACTGGAGCTCGGCAGGAGAGCCCTCGCGCACGGTCACTACCGAGCGGCCCTTGGGCACACTGATGGTGGGCGGCACTGGAGGAGGGTGAGAGGGGTGAACGTAGTTAGGGATCCCTGGTCCCTAATGTGGGGCCCTGCTTTTCCCCCTTTTCCAGCCCGTGGGTGCCACGGTCCCTAAGAATGCTCGGATCACAGCTCAGTGACTGGCCTTCCCCAGTCCTCTCCACCTCAGGCATCTCTACCTCAGACTCTCCCAGCTCAGAAAGAGCCCTGAAGTCAGCCTAAGTAAGTCTACTTCCCTAACAGTCACACAGGGGTGTCCTATTTTTCTTTTTCTTCTGGCACGTGTTGGAGGGTGAGAAAGGATCTCCTTTAGTCCACCCAAGCTGGCCTTGAACTTGCTATGTAGCTGAAGTAAGCTTTGAACTTCACCCTCCTGTTTCAGACTCTCAAGCACCTTTAACCTCTTCCTTCCCAGCATTACTCCTGGCCCTTGAGCATTTCTTAGAGATTTATGTTTGTGTGTATTTATGTGTGCAAGCATGTGTATGAACACATGCACACATTGCCTAGGGAGGCCAGAAGAGGGCACTGGATCCCCGGGAACAGGAGTCACAGAGGGTTGTGAGCCACCCTAGATTTCCAAAGCACGCAGAGGCTGGGAGCCAAATTCTTGTCCTCTGCAAGTGCCCTCAGCCACTGAACCATCCCTCCAGCTTTTCTTGCCTACCGTATTAGCACACCGCCTTAACTCTACCCTCGACTTCCAACATCCTGTAGCCCTCCTTCCAAAGTAATAAGCACACTTGGTTTCAGAAGGGCGCGCAGGCCGGAGCCTTCGACATGCTAAGCCAGTGGCACCGCAGCTGAGCCACAGCCTAGCGCTGAAATCACTATTGGAGTTCTGTCGTTCACAGTCAAACCCACTCCACCCCAACACACTGCCAAACGGAGGGCTCTGAGAAGACCTCCCTGGGTCTTAACCCACATCAAACGGTTTATCATTAAATGTCAAGTATTGAACATTAAATATAATTAACTATAAAGCAATTATTCGTAAATGACTATACAAACCAGGCGAAGGGCCAGTTGTCTGGTTTATATAAGTTGTGCCCTGCCAACATCTGTACATCTGTTGGCTTCCATTTCGCAGCTTTCTCTTGGTATTTTGGAGCCAGTTTGTTCATTTCCCATCCCCCTCTAGGTTTAAATTGTTCCCAGAGGCATTTACAAGGCTTCTGTGCTCCAGGCATTGGACCCGTGAGCCCAAAGCAGAACCAGCCCTAGGCTGCTTCCCTAGGTCAGACACTTCTGAGCTCCCCCAGGATAGAGTTCCCCCTCTCAGTGGGCGCTGAGGTTAAAGCTCTATACTTAGGCGACTCTGGCCTCTCATGATCTCCAGCCTCAGCTCCCATCTGTGCCCCAGTGTCCCAGTTGTGTAACTCACTTTATGAGGAATCTGCTCACCTACCCGAGGCACAGCTTCTCCTACACTGGGCAGCCCCCCCCCCCGCAATGTTCTCTTTCTTTCTTTCTTTCTTTCTTTCTTTCTTTTTTGTTGTACCCCTTCTGGGTTTACGTCTTCACCTAGCGCTCTGCTAGTCCAAGAATCATGTGGAACACACCTCCTGCAAAAAGCCTTCTCTGGCTTCCTAGGCAGCCTAGCCTTCCTTTGCTTGTGTCCCCTTTACAGACCCCTCCTTGGCCTCCTAAGCAAGAATTTCAGCATTTTCCCTGCCCTCTCCCTTCTCCTAACGGCTCTAGCTCCCCTGCCCAGACAGCGAGTTCTGAGGAAGGGTCTGGTGGGTTCTTAGTTTGCCACAGCTTTGCACAAAAGACTCTGCAAAATCAATCTGTGGTCTTTGTAGAGTTCCCATCTACTCTGAGGTCCTGCTCGGGCCCATCTCCTTCTAGAAGCCTCCTCTGTGCTCTCCAGTCTCATTGGGTTTCATGTGTGCAGATGTCAGGGCGAGAGGGTCCGCTGAGGGTCTAATTGCCCACCAAGAGAAATTGAGGCCAGAGCTTAAGTGTCAAAGAAAGAAATACTCATAACGATCAGAGTTGGCAGTGTACTGGCTGGTCACGTGACTCACCAGCCACGCTCAGCTGGCTTCTCAGTAGAAGGTCCTAGAGCCCTCTCCCAACAACCATCCTCTGGCCTCTTGCCATCTTCTTGCAGTGCCAAGCACAGACTCCAAAGGCCCTTGGCCGGGCTCCCCTCTCCCCAGCTCCACTGCTTGCTAAGTGTCTCAAACTCAAGTTTCTAAGGCTTGCTTCTTCCTTAGTAAAATGGGAAGATAAATTGCTACCCGTGACCAGCTGGCAAGGTAACTCCATGGTAAAAGCACTTGCTGCCAAACCTGACCACCTGGGTTTGATACCTGGCACCTACACGGTAGAAGGAGAGAACCCAGCTCCAGCAAGTTGTGCTCTGGCCTCCACACGTGCCCCATGGTACATGTCTACACGTGCACATGCACATCCACACAGAATAAAGGAGTAAAACAGTGGGGGAATCCCTATCACTATAAAATAAGTCACAGAGGTGAAGGAAGAACTCACAGGCTCAAGAATCCACTCAATTTCCTATTATCAACTCACCGTATTATAATAATTATCGTAAGAATAAAGACCTGACTCTTCACCATGGCCTGTCACAGGATGCATTCTGCCCCCTCAAAATCCATATGTGGTCATCCTAATGCCAGTGTATGAAAAAAACGTGGCTATATTGTAGGCAGGCCTTTCAAGGCTGAAGCCAATGGGATCCCCCTTAATCCAGTCTAGGACACAGACATGAACAGGAAGAAGATGCCACCAGTCAGCCAGGGAGCCCAACTCTACTGACACCTTGACCTCAGACCTCCAGTCTCCATGGCTGAGAAGTCTTCAGGGTGGCCTCTCTGAGCTTGTACCATTCCACTCTCCTGGTCACCGTCCCTCTCCCACCCCCACCCCCCACCACAGTGATTCTGCATACGCTGATTCTGTGACCTCCCTGGCTCTCTTTTCCTTAGCACAATCTTTCTCCTCCCTCTGATCCCATTCAAATTACAGTTTGCAGTGATACATTTATTCATGAACTGTCTGAAATAGGTTCATCTTCCTACCGAATTCAAGAAACACAGCATCTCCTCTTCCCATCACTCTACCTCAAGACCTGCCACGGGGCCTGGCTATCACAGAGCCCCAACATGTGTGTATGGCATGAACAAATGGTATCATCCTCCTGCTAGACACCCATTTGCAAATTGCTATGTCCCTCCCACGCCCACTCCCCACCACACACACTACTTTGGTCCTCTAGGGCTTCCCCACTGTTCCCGGTGCCCCCACCTGTCTCAGAGGAGATGTTGACCTCAATGCTGAGGTCAGGCACCGGTGATCCCGGGAAGGACGCCATGCACAAGTAAGTGCCGTAGTCACTAAAGTGCAGGTCAATGAGCTCCAGGCTGCTGGTGATGGCTGGCAGCTCAGGGTCATTTCGGGTCACCAGCAGTCGCTTGGACATGCGTGCCGGCTTGCCATTTTTGAACCACTGGTAGGTGACCTTCTCCTGGGGCACCGCATCCACGTGGCAAGATAGCTTCAGGTCCTGGCCGAGTTGAATGTTCTCGCTCTCTTTGATCACATCAGGGGTGATCTGGAATGTGGCATTCTTCAAGGCTGCAGGAGATGAGGAGAGAAGAGCTGGGGCTGACCCAAGTCTGGGTATCCACGTCCCGCCGCAGCTTCTCCTCTCAAGTCGGCTGCACCCTACCCCTGCACGTGCGCATGTGCGCGCCCGCGTGCGTACCCCCCCCCCCCCCCAATCTGGAAATGGTTCCAATGGCTCAGAGGTGTTTTAATAGCTTTAAAAGAGCTCAGTGCAGAAACGTGGGGTTGGTGCTGACTCCAGGCAGTATTAATGAGCACACTCCACACATGGATCAGCGCTTACAACCTGTCCCACTGTCTCCGGAGAGAACCGGGGCTCAGCGAGTCTAACTTGTGCCCTCAAATCCTTCTTGTCCACACACTGCTTTGTTTTCATTTGTGTTTGAAACCTTGTGTAATCAAAGTTCCGATATAGAAGGAAACACGAGACTCTATCATTGTTCTATCTAGCGTGAATCCAAAGGAAATTGAAAAGCAATTAATTGCACCTCCCCATCCGTTTTGTATGGTCTGATTTTTTTACAACAAGGCTGTGTGATTTTTTTTTAATGATATAAAGCCAATATGATGCTCTTGCATGCGATTGCATGACATCATTTGGTTTAGAAAACTAAGGTCTGGATGTTTTTTAGAATGTGGGTCTTGTTTGAAGTCAGTCAAAGCCCTTCCTAGGAGAGGCGCTAACTTGATAGAACATTGGTTGGTACGGTGGCTTGGAGATCAGGGCTGGGATGGATAACACAGGCTGCAGAGCCACCCCAAGAGGTGACCACAACTGTGGATGTCCAGAAAGATCTCACCACCCCAGGTTTTCAAGATCAAGTGGGGTCAGGTGGAGACAGCTCATCTTTGATGGGGAAGAGAAAGCTATGGTCAGAGAGCTCCAATCTTGCTAATTTATTTCTCAATCTAAGTCAAATTGAAGAGAGTTGGCTTCTTGCTGAGAGGAGACCGGAAAGAGATGAACGCAGAAGCCAGTCCTGAGGCTCCGTTATGTTTGTTGGCACCTGCACTTGACTTTCAAGCCTAAAGGTCTGGGAACAAGCCTGACTCTTATTTCCCCCACTTGTTTGTTGTTTCAAAAATTACTTTAAATGTGTGTTAGCGTTTGCCTACACGTATGTGTGTGCACCATGTATGTGTACAGTGCCCATGGAGGCCAGTAAAGGGTCTTCTCCCTTGAAATTGGAATTACAGGTGGGTGTAAGCCACAGTGTGTGTGCTTGGAACTGAATTCAGGTCCCCTGCAGGAGCAGCAAGTGCTCTCAACTGCTGAGCCATTGTTCCAGTCCATGTTTTTGATTTTTGACACTGGGTCTCAGGCATCCCAGGCTAGCCTTGGACTTCCCATGTAGCCTAGGATGACCTTGACTCCTGGTCTTTCTGCTTCCAAGTCTCAAGGGCTGAGACGACATGCCTGCACCACCATGATCTGAAAGTTTGGGTCTTTTTTTTAAAAATCGCCTAACACTGCATAAGCGAAGAAGAGGAAGAGGAAGAAAAAGAAGAGAAGGAGGAGGAGGAGGGGAAGAAGAAGAAGAAGAAGAAGAAGAAGAAACAGCAGCAGCAGAGGAGGAGAAGAATATTTACACATATACACAACACCTTTAGACCCAGCACTTGGCAGGCAGAAGCAGATGGATCTCTGTGAGTTGGAGGAAAAGTCTACATAGTGAACTTCAGGCCAACCAGAGCTATATAGTGAGACAGTGTCTGAAAAAAAAAATTAATGCATATATGCTCCATAGAACTGTGTGTTATTGTCACTTAAATTTGGCCAATCCACAGTTAGAAAGAAAGCCAGGGGATTTCTCTTGGAGCCTACAGTATCCACATTTAGTTTTTTGCAGCCCCCATTTACCAGTTTAAAAGAAACGCCTTCAGTTACCAGTCCTTGTAAATTACAAATTGCAGTTTTCTGCCCCTGGTGGTAGACTGCTGAATTGCAGGGAAAGCAGACTGCCCAGACTGTGGCACCCTGCCACACCCTGGAACCCGGTCACACCCCATACTCTGTGACAAACAGATGGCTCCCTCACCCAGTTCACCTGCAGTCCCTGGAGGACAGAGACCCTGTCCACCGCACAACTTCCCACCAGCCCCTCGAGGTCACGTACATCGCACCAGCAGGTTGACGGTCTTCTTGGCTGGGTTGCCTACATTGTTGGTGGCTGTGCAGTTGTAGTAGCCAGAGTCCCGGGCCTGCACTGAAGGGATGCTGAGGGTGCCACCCTGAGCCAGAGCACCCAGGGGCAGTGGGCCAGGTCCGTGGGACCAGTGCAGCTGGGGGAGGGGATCGCCGCCTGTCAGTAGACACTGCACTGTCACATTGTCCCCAGGGTTCACCACCAGAGTCTCGTTCACAGACAGCTTCAAGGCTGGCGGTGCTAAGGGGGACAAGGAGGTTGGGTCTCAGGAGACTTCCAGGGCTAAATGAGAGGGAAATGCGGGGATAGAGAACCCTGGGGGGTGGGGGTCAGGGATGCTCAACCCAGGAATGGATGCTGGAGAGGAAGTTCTGGGCATTAGGGTGGGGAGTGGGTCTGGGTGGGTGAGAGGGGAGGCGCCTGTACCTGTGGTGTTGGTGAGCTGGAAGGTGATGGCCTTGTCTGGGATGCCACACACATTGCGCACGGACACCTGGCAGGTGTAGCTGGCGTAATCCTGGGGCCGCAGGTTCTTCAGCTTCAAGACCTTTGTCTCCCCCTGGATGGCAGTGGATCGCTGGGGTGAGGACCTGCTTGGGTCTCTTGGGGTCCCCCACATCGATTCATCTACATCCACAACACAGTCAGCAGGCAATTCCTATCCTAGCTCTCCTCTCCTCAAGCCCTACCCATATCTTCCCTGAGGAAGCCTCCACACCCCTGCCAGGGCTTCCGTGGTTTCTCTGGGGCAGAGGCAGTCCTGGGGCACACTGCCCTGGATTAGGCCTCAGTGTCCATATTCTGGACACAATATGGGACTGGCTCGCAGGCCACACAAGGGGCTGGCAGTCCCTTCTGGAAGCCCTCCCTGGCAGAATGGCTTTGTCCCCGTCTCCTGGAACTGCATGCAGGGAAGTATGGACTGAGAGAGGCCTTTCTACCCCAACCCCATTTGCATCGCTCATGGGTCCCCATCTCAGCCACCGTAGCAGGCACAGATGGTTCACTCGTTCTTTAGATGGTTATTCCTATCTGGCCATACTCTGGGGAACATGCTGTTTTGGGGACTCCCCTGTCTGGGGCTCACTCTGACCTCTGACCTCTCTGCTCTCTCACTTTTCACCCCAGGCTGTGTGAATGCTAGACCAGGTGCCTCCCACCAAGGCACTGAATTGTTAAGATCAAGTCAGTCTCCAGGAGTCCGGGCTGCCAGGCTTCAGCCCCTTACAGGGTATCCTTGTGGGGTGCAAGAGTGTGGGGCGCCAGCTGCCCATCCTGACCTGGGTGTAGAGAGGCTCGTAGATGTCAACCCCATTGTCCTGGCTGTGGGACAGGGTGTCGGAGCCCCTCTTCCAGATAAAGCGGGCGGGTGGGTTGGAGCTGACAGTGCAGCGTAGGAACACCGTCTTCTCCTGGTAGAAGTTGCCTCTGACGTCGCTCACTGTCTGGTGCACCGTCAGCACGGGCTCATCTAAGTCTGCAAGGAAACCAGCGCTACGTCAAGATGAGGTGACCCCAGAGCTGGGAGCTCAGGCTCCTGGAAGCCCTTGGGAAGAGCAAAGCCACTCTCAGAAGACACAGGATGTTGATGCCTGCCTTCAGTTCCGCAAACTGGACCAATCTGTTAGAGGTGGGGGCGGGGGGGGGGGGACTGGATCTAGTGGCTTCCAGCCGCTCCCTTTCAGCTGTTCTTCCCCAGGGACCTGTACGGGACCTAGTACTGTACCTTTCATAGGATAGAACAGGCAGCCATTGACTGGAAACAAGCTGAAAGCTGAGTTCAATCTCTCATTGACTAATTTTATAGTGTGACCTCCCTTAAGCTCCTTTTCTTTCTGGATCTCTGTGTTGTTTTGTTTTTCAAGACAGGGCTTCTCTGTGTAGCCCCGGCTGTTTTGAAACTCACTTTGTAGACCAGGCTGGCCTTGAACTCACAGAGATCCACCTGCCTCTGCCTCCCAAGTGCTGGGATTAAAGGTGTGCGCCACCACCGCCCAGCCGCCAGCAGTTTTAAAAAGATTCCCGAGGCTAGGAGGGCTGGCTCAGTGGGTAAAAGTACCTCCCACAGCCTGATGATGGAAGTTCAATCCCCAGGACCCAGGAGGTAGCGGAAAACAAACTCCTGCAAGCTGTCCTGTGACCCCTCCCCCACAACACAGATTAGCTATGACCTTAAACTTTTATCAGAGAGTCTAGTGCACACAGCCAGGGCTGTGACCTGGGTGGGGGTGGGGGAGAGTCCTCAGTTGCATAGGGTGGTGGAGAGGGAAACCCCAGACCTGCCCTTGTGTTCTCCATACAGGAGGTTTGCTGGTCCCTCGCCTTTCCCTGTCCACGTGAAAGGATTGCATCAAGTCCACGGGAGGAGGGTGACATGGGAATGAGAAAGGTTTAGGGAGATCAACTGCCCATTCCCAAAGAGAGGACTCTTGCCTCCTCCACCATGATGTCACTTTCCACCCTACCCCTTCCCCACCCCCTGAGGATTCAGGAGCTGTCCCCTGTAGGGGCACGGACTGTCAGGTCCAGGGTCTCATAGGGTCTTGACTCACACTGCACGTCCACACGGATGGACTTGATGGCCGGCACGCCCACTCCGTTCTCCGCCTTGCAGTAGTAGCGGCCGCCCTGTGTGCGGGCGATGCGCTCGATCCTCAGCGTCTCGTTGAACACCGACGTCTCCTGGAACTTGTCCGACGCGCTGCCAGCCGTCTTGGTCCACCGCACCTGGGCGGGTGGTTGCCGCACTGAGGTTAGGGTAGCGGGCTAAGGGCCCCGCACAAGAGTCCCCTGCCTCCCCCATGCTCTTGAGGGCGCAGAAGAGGAAGGATGCAGGCCCGACCCAAACAGGTGGCAGGAGGGCAAAGATGACCGACCCCCTCAGGACACCACAGGGAGAAGAATCACAGGGCAGAGGTCAAAGTCAGAACGAGGAAGCTCTAAGTTGGGAGCCTGACCAAGTTGCCTAGAGTTAACGGAGGATTGGTTGGGTAAGTGTATACTCAGCACTGGGAAGACTGTTAACCCACCCCTTAGCTTAGTGACCTCATAGGTTACTCAACCCTTGGTCTCCACTGGAAGCCAGTCTCCAAAGGTGGGCTTCACTCTCTTCTGTATGCCCAGCCCACTGTTCTAGGGAGGCTCTGGTCTGTGTGGCTGACAGACTTCAGCAGGAGAGAGACTAGGACAGCGTATGAAACTATTGCACCATGGCCTTGATCTGTTGTTCCTCTGCCAGCTCCTCTGCCCTAAGTAGCCCGATGGAGAGGAGCCGAGGAGGAGCCATGAGCTACCCTCTTCCCTTTGCGGAGAGTTCTCCAGCCTTAGTCACGCTCAGATGACTAACACCCATCCGCAGCCCTGAGAGAGACCCTGCGTCAGAATCAACTGCTGCTGGATTCCTGCCACTGGCGCTGGGAGCCAGGAAGTGTTCCAGGACCCAAGTCCCTGCATTTTGAAGTATTTGCCAGTCAACAATAACTAATATAGCATAATGCCTACTTTGTAAGTTATGAAGCTTAGGAAGTGAAGCACTTAGATGTGGTGCCGCGAATACATTATTCACTCGCCGGTTTCTGTTATTAGCAGTGCTCTCGGTTAATTCCTGATGTTCTACAGCTTTACCTTCATTTGTCTATGTGGATTTTAACTCAAAACTCGGATTTTGGTTTGGGTAGGTTTTTGTCTTGTTTATTTCTGTGTACAATGTTCACACCTCCTTTGGGGGTCAGAAGAGGGTGTTGGGCCCACTGGAACTGGAATTATAAATGATTCTTCTTCTTCTTCTTCTTCTTCTTCTTCTTCTTCTTCTTCTTCCTCCTCCTCTTCCTCTCACTCTTCCTCTTCTTCTTCTTTTTGTGTTATCCCAGGTTAGGTTCAAATGCTATGTAACCAAAAGGTAACTTTGGACACCTGATTCCTCTGCCTCCACCTCCACAGTGGCTGGTGGCTGGTATTACATTAGCGTAGCGCCATGTCTGTTAATGCAGTGCTGGGGTCAGGCCCAGGGCTTCACGTGTGCTAGGCACGCTATTAATTGAGCTACATCCTCAAACCTTCCTTTCATAATTTTTTCTTTCATAATTTCTATTGCTTTTCCAGACTTGTGATTAACGTCCTCAGATCTAGCACCCAATTTACTAAAGTTCTCTTTAGCTATCTCTGAGGTATTAAGGACATTTTTTTTAAAAGACTACTTTTATTTCTATGGTTTCCGTTTGCCTTTTCCCATATCAAAGCACAGAGGAGTGTGGGAACAGGGACGTGGGAACTAGTGTGAAGAAGTTTGTCACTGCAGGGGCATGCTTGGGAGACTTTGAAACCCTGAGATACAAGTTCACTTTCTCAGGCATTTTGTCACGGCAACAGGAACACTGCCATCTGTGTATGTAAACTGTAATACTCACTCTGTGTATGTAAACACAGCTCGTCCTGAGGTGTGTGCAGCCCCAGGCTCCTCAGCTTCTGCTCACTGCCTGGCGGGGGGCGGGGTCCCCTCTCTCCATTCATTTGTTCTTAGTTGACTTAAAATCCACTAATTTGGGAGGTCACACGCTGGGCCATATACAGTGCCTCCCACTATAGTCGATGAAACCGATCAGCTCTAAAACTGTCCCCTCCCCCAGCAAAATATTCTTCAGCTGCTTTCCTCTGGTTCTCCCATACTCTGGGGACAGTGGCTTTTCACTCTCTCCTTGTTCCCAGAGGAGACTTTGCCTCCTAGTAATTAGCCTTCGGATCCATTATTCCTTGGAAAGCAAGCCAAAAGCCCAAAGAACAGGAGTCTCTGTCAGCCATAACATCTCCTTAGACTTAAAGAACCAAGACTATTCCAGGGGCCCACAGAGAAGAGCACCTGGGCATCGGAAAGGCAGAGCACCCAAAGTCTGTGCCCACCCTGAGGACCCCATCTGCCTGTCCCGTACCTCCCCACAGCTCCCTACCTAAACCAGGCACCCACCACCTGGAGAAAGCCTCTTTTTTATTTTTGAAACAGGGTCTCAAGGAGAGCCCAGGGTGGCCTTGAACTCGATATATACCTGATGATGACTGTGAACTCAGATTTCCCAGACTCCATCTCCAGAGTTCTGGGATTAGACGTGTGTACCACCACACCTTATTTTATAGTGCTGGAGATGGAACTGGAGGCCATGCTAGGCGAGCATCCCTTCTGCTGAGATACATCCCGAGGCCTCCATCTTTTGCAGCTTGCTAGCTCTCTAAATCGCTCCCTTTTCCTGTCCAACAACTTGTCCTCAAGTCACTGGTTGCTTGAGCGGCAGCAAAAACTTGGGGTTTGCGGCTTCCCCTTTTGTGTAGATTCCCTCTGGGTTGCAGACCCTAGCACGCCCAGGCTCTTTCTTCTTTGAACTGATTATGTGTATCTACTCACGCCTCTGCCCTGACCTTGGTAGGCAAGGACCTTGAGGCTCACTCCTTGCCAGCCTGATGAATAGGCGCCCTGGTTGCTGTTTGGAACAGATGCTCAGTGTCACTCACTGTAAGGAAGCAAGCAGGAAAGGAGGCTTCTGGGGAGAGGACACCACAGTGGCAGAAGCAGGATAAATAGGGCACACCTGGAGAATGATTGGCAGCCCATATGGCTGGGACACAGGTGTGTAGGGGCAAGCGGGGTCAGGATACAAAAAGTCTCCAGTTGCACCTCGGAGGCTTGAGCAAGATGGCAAACAGTGGGGGGGAAAGAGGTAATGGAGCAGATTTTGGGGCGTTCATTCTAATGGAATGAAGGTAGGGGGCAAGCAAAGAGCCTGGAGGATCAATTTCGATCTACTATCGTGGTCCAGGGTCGGGACTGAAGAGCTGAGCTAGAAGGCAGTAAAGAAGAGACCGTGTAAGACACAAAAAGCCAGAGCCGGCCAACCGTTGGGGAAATAGTGCAAAGTCAAATAAGTGAGCTTGCCAGACAGGACAAGCAATGAAGCCATTAATGAAAACAGGAAGACAGAGGGTGCTTGGCTAGCAGGCTCAGCTTACACCCAAAGCCTGGGTTCGACCCCCAGCATGGCACAAGCTGGGTGTGGTTACTCACATCTCTGACGCCAGCACAATGTAAGTACAAGTGGGAAGGTCAGACATTCAGTTATCCTTGTCATTGTGGCAAACTGGAGGCCTGTCTCTGTCACAGGGGACCCCAGGCAGAGATGGTCAGTGTAGCCTGGCCCCACTGGCCTCACCAGCCACAGCCCCGCTGTTGTCACCACACGTGACACAAAGATCCCCAGAAATGCAGCTGCACGGTCCTCAATGCCAAGCAAACCTTTGAGCTGGAGCGAGCTGCGATGGTGGCTTTAGACGGAGGAAGTCTTTAGGGGTTTCCTTGCCTATCTGCCTATCTCCACGGCAGCGCTATGAAAGCTGTCTCCGTTCCCCCAAATTATCAGGGAGAAAAAAAGGGGGGGGAGTCTGTATTCCAGCGTCCTTCCCAGAATCCAATTGCCACCTTTGTTGCTGCTATTCAAGTATTAAAGGTCACAGCAGCTCGCCAGGCAGCCAGCTCCTCCAGCCCTCCTCCCCACCCGCCTCCTCCATCAGCCTTCCGCAATAGCAGGCTCCCACCTCCTGCCTGAACCTGAGCACTTGATCTATGGCAAAACGCACCTGGCATTTCCAGACACTTGTCTTACGTCCCCTTCTAATTGCTTTGTGTCTTTGAACCTCCAGAGCTTGCTCTGGCCTGCCAAAAGCCTGAAGTGTTGCCCGTATCATCCGTGCAGCTCCTAACCCAAAGAGGAGGGCAGCGTGCCAAGCCACAGAGGGTACGGCTTCTAGACTCAAATTCTGCTTCTGTTTTCAGAGGTGCTGTGGGACCTTGGGAGTTTGCCCAGCCTCCCAGGGCCTCGCTTTCTCTTAACTATAAAATGAGGCCTTTGGAGGAGTCAGAGAGAGAGAAAAAACACTGGGCAAGGGGCCTTCTTGGCATATGGTCTGCCCACCAGTATTTCTTGAGGGTGTGTGTAAGGATGTGTCTGCTCCACAGAGGGATGGAGTGGAATGGAGCAACTGGCTTTCATTTTTCCTCTCTGTTGTCAGTGCTTTCCGGTGACAGCACCCGCAGCACCCAGCACCTCCCTGAAGAGTTACTCTCCAGGCTAGTCATCTGGCCCAGTCTTTCTAGCCTGTCATGTCGCTTGCCCTCCGGAGTGTATGCAGTTTCTCACCTCTGGCTTCCTCTCCAACACTGATCCCAGGCAAGAGAGTATGGGCAGGATAGGCACCCGGCAAGGCCGAGGCCCAGTTTACCTGGGGCCGAGGGTGCCCAGTGACCAGGCATTGCAGCACCAGGGTGTCGCTCTCCCGGATGGTGTAGACTCGCTCGCTGATATTATCCTCCTTCACCACACAGGCCTGCCCTGCGTGCACGATCTGGGCCTGGGCTGGAGCTGTGGAGAGAGGACAGAAAAGGGGTAGGGGAGACTCACAGAGCTTAGGGCCTAGGGCTGCCTCTTTGTGTCTGGGGAAGAGTCCAGACTTCACCCCCAGTAGGCCAGGATCGATTCTGGGCCTAGGGCAGAATCAGGAGACCTAGGGATTTGGGAAAGAGGTGGTGGGCACCATGAGTGCTTTTCAGTGAGGAAAAAGTGCAGTGGGGAGGGAGTGGGCGGTGTTCTGCACACCAAGCATGGCAGAAGTGAAGAAATTCTAAAGAGAAACTGCCTCTCAATCTATCTTTTCAGACTACTGAAACAAAGGACCCCGAAGAATGGTAAATTCTCCAGGGATACTATGGGAGAAGGAAAAGGACCACACACAAGAGGAACTTGTGTCTGGCAAGAGATTTCACACAGTTGCAACAATGTATCAGATTACCTCATAGGAAGAGACCCAAGCCCAGAGGATGATGGGTCAATGGTGGGCCTGGACACATCTTTACAGGCTGCTTAGATGAGCATGCCATTGACCTCATTCCAGGACCCCCAAAGATGGACTCTGGGGGTTCACTGGATCTCTGTCCCTCTTCCCAACGTGGCCATGTTGAGTAAGCCTTTTTCTGCATCCTACTACTAATTTGTCTCTTTTAATTGGCTTATCCAGGGCAGTGGCCAGACATGACTTGGGTTACAGGTTGTGACCCCCAAGTTCAAAAATACGGCAGGCGGGGTAGCCAGTTGCTCTGTAAGATTGGTTTCACTGTCTTGGCAGATCCCAGACTTGGGTGCTCTTGGTGCTAGACCCAGCTTTATAATATGACAGGTGTGCCCATCTCCCTCTGCTAATGATGTTCACAGCTCTCAGGTGACCCATGCAGGCACATGCACACACACACACACACACACACACACACACACACACCACACACTCGGAGGGATGATCATGGTTGCTCAGGCTCTCGGGGGCTCTCCCTAGGCTGAAATGGGGATACAGCCAACTCCTAGAACTTACATGGAAGGGGCATGAGGAATGAAAAATAGAACTGCCAGGCGATCCAAAGCAGTATCTGCCATCAACACGAATGGGACAAACACGACCTAACCAGACCACTGTCCCAAAAGGCAACCAGCCAGCAGCTCGAGAAACTGTTTGAAACAGGTTCACCAAGCCCAAGCTGGCTCCCAGCACCCTCTGTAGCAGGGATGAACTCGAACTTCTGATCCTCCTGCCTCCACCTTCTAAGTGCTGGGATGACAGGCACATGCCACCAACCCCAGGTTGGCTGAAAAAATTGTGGTACAGCCACTCGGCCTGACACTGCCCCCGCCTAACACAGCAAACTTCTACGCTGTCCAGGTGGCCATCCTGACTGCGTGTCTGCCACAGAGGAAGGAGCCTGGGCTGAGCTGTTAAAAGATAAGCTGTGTGTCCCCACACAATGTGAGCCACCACTCTGAGCCTGTTTCCCCATCTGTAGGAGGGAAGTGGATGATCTCCGAGGTCTTTTCAACTTGCTATTGATCTTGTAATCAGCACACAGTGTCTGTATAAAATGCACACCACACTCCAGGGACTGGGCTTGTCACTGTCGCCATGCCATAAAAATGCACGAACGTCACCATACACCGAAGAGATAGGCATCTTTGGCCCAGGTCCCTGGGATACCTCACCAAGCAACAAGCTACCAAGAGATGTCATGCATGTTGGTTGCTGATAAGACCAGAAGGCTGCATGGATGTCTGCAGGAAGCCCGGGGTGCCTCTTGACAAGGAAGACATCGGTTGAACAGGCTTCAATGGAAGATAAGCTATAATCTTGGACGCTGTGGCTTGCCCACAGCAAAGCAGTGTTGTAATGACAGAAGCTTTGGTGACAGATAAGGAATGATGGGAAAGAGCTACAAAGCCTCACATGCTCAGGGCACAGCAAGCCTGGATGGGGGCGGTGAGGGAGGAATGGCCAGCAGACACACGCAGGGCCTGTAGCTTGCTCAATGGAGGTGGGCAGGGGGCGGCCATCACAGATGACATCATGAAGATTGCACACCTCTCTCTGCCAATACTAGCTATTAAGATGATCCTACTCTAACGTAGTAGAGTACACTGGAAGAGTCTGAGTCATATCTATGACTCTAAACATGCATGTGCCCCATGGCACTATAGTTCCTCTCTTGGGGACAGATACAACAGAAATGAGCACTTATAACAATCACACCACAGGTCCAAGAATCCTCCAAGGGGGCTAGAGAGATGGCTTGGTGGTTAAGAGCATGGGCTACTCTTGCAGAGGACCCGAGTCCAGTTCCCCGCACCACGTGCAAAAACCTGCCCCCGTACACACATCCACATAATCACAAATAAACCTTTTAAAAAGAGAGAGAATCTTCTGAGTGGCTTTTCTTCTAATAACAAAAACTCCGAAGCAACCCATGTGCCTGTCAGGAGTGGTGAACGTGAGCCCAGTGTGCTGACACACGCTCACATACAGTGATGGAGAAGCAGAGATGGGCAGAGCTTTGTGAGTTCAAGGCCAGCCTGGTCTACACAGCAAGTCCTATGATGCCAGGGCTACCCAAGGAGACTCTGTCTCACAACAAAATGAAAAACAAAACCCAAACGGTAGGATTGCTCAGCCATGGAATGGAGCTTCTGGTGGCTCTCTTGTCACTGCTTCCCATCTCTCAGGAAGGGTGTATCGCTATTACAGCTGCTTCCATTGCTGTGCCCAAATTCTCCATGGACTCTAAGGATCCAACTCAAGTCGTTGGGCTTTCGTGGCACGTGCTCTAACCCACTGAGCCATCTCCCCAGCCCCCGCTGGTGTCTTTACACAGTGCGATATCAACCTAAGTGAAGGAAATGAAACATAGCCACGCCAACGCTGCCGAACCTCCTAGGCACGATTTGACAGGACCTAGACTCGCAAGTGTCTATAATGCATGATTTCATTTGTTCAAAATTCAGAACTGCAAAAGCTAAGCTTGTAGTGACAGAGGCTTGTCAGTGACTGCCTTGGGTAGACAGGGTATTAATAGCTGGGAAGGGACTTCCAGGATAATGGGAGATGCACTTCTGCATATGTGCTGCTTTTATTGGTTGGTGAATAAAGCTGTTTCGGCCAATGCCTTAGCAGAGTAAAGCTAGGCAGGAAATCTGAACAGAGATATAGAGACAGAGAGTAGGTAGAATCAAGGAAACGCCATGCAACGCTAGAAGATTACCAGTAAACCGCAAGCCTCGCGGTGAAATATAAAAATAATAAAAGCAGGTTATATTTAAGATGTAAGAGCTAGCTGGAAATGCACCTAAGCTATTGGCCAAACAGTGTTGTAATTAATATAGTTTCTCTGTGCTTATTTGGGTCTGAGCTGCCGGGAAATGAAGGCAGTCTCAGCAATCTCAGCTTACACCAGGATGTCCCAGGGAGGTGAGACAGAAGAACCTCCATCGGAGTGTGCCGGTTCAATGGTGGTGAGGTTCATATATCCAGGTATCTAACTGCTTGGGCGTTCACCCTGTCTGTTACAGTGTGTATACAACATGCCCCTCCGGCAAAGGCTCATGTGCCCCCAGTTATGTTGAGGTGATTTGATCATGAGGGTGCTAACTTCATCCATCAAAGGCCTTTAATAAAGAGGGCTCAGGCTGTAGCTCAATTTGTAGGGTGCTTGCTTAGTGTGCATGGAACCCTGGATTTGATCCCAGTCACTGCATAAAACCAGGCATGAGGGTACACGTCCATAATCCCAGCATTCATGAAGCAGCTGAAGCAGGAGGACCACTTCAAGGTCATTCGTGGCTGCACAGACTTCGAGGCTAGCCTGGGCTATGTGAGATCCTGTCTCAAAAGGGGCTGGGTAGGGCTGAGAACATACATCACTCAGTAAAGTGCTTGCTTTGTGAGCATGAGGATTTGAGTTTAATCCAAAGAACTTATGCTTAGAAAGAAAGAAAGAAAGAAAGAAAGAAAGAAAGAAAGAAAAAGAGTCAGACATGGTAGGTATGTATTTGTAATAACCATGAGCTAAATCAAACCTTTCTTCACCTCTTAGATTCAGTTTCTCAAGTATTTTGTCAGAGTGACCAACACACTAAGCTATGTTTCAATTTAAAAAACAATAAAAAGAGAAACAAAACATCCATTTACCTGTTTCTGCTGGCCTTAATCATTGTCATTGTTCTAGAAAACCCAGAACCATCCCCTCAATCCCCACCTTGGAGATGGTTGTGTAGTCATCTCTTCCCTGAGAGAGGGAGGAGAGAGACTCCAGCAGATTGCCAGGCAATTGGGAAGGTCTCAGGGGTCACAGGGCCCCTGGACAGGTCATACAGACAGGACCATTGCTGGAGAGAGGACCCTGGCAGAGCTGGGGAGCTCCAGGGACACATGAGCCTTGGAGTCACCGAGTCTGCTGTGACCACCATAAACCCTGTTTTACTGGGTGCCTCATGTGGGTGAACAGATGTCCATGTACATCTCCCCAGGAAAAGCCACTTGTCAAGAGTTTACTGAGATCGGGCAGTGGTGGCGCATGCTTTTAATCCAGCACTCAGGAGGCAGAGGCAAGAGGGGATCTCTGTGAGTTCAAGGCCAGCCTGGTCTACAGAGCAAGTTCCAGACAGCCAGGGCTACAGTGTCTCAAGAAACAAAAATAATAATAAAAAGTGTTGATTCAGTTCCAGCCCTCCATTTTCCTCCTGGTATCACATAGCTCATGCACCGTGGCCTGGGCATGCCGATTTGCGCACTATCCTCCACAGGCCACAGTTTCAAACTCTGCTCACTCTGCCCTGACTCTACTTCTCAGCCCCCAGTTCTGCACATCCTGAGGAGCCTCGAGGAGTGGCGAGCAGCATCTGCTTCAAAAGGCCACCAAGCCAGGGCCTGTCATAATCCTGCCTTCCATCTGACCAACAACAAAGGATCAGGGTCAGCGGTGCCCTGCTTAGGTGCAGGCTCTAAGCAGTTCCCTGCTAGGTGCTGGAGAGCCTGTCACCAAAAGTAAACAGGG